TATTTAATAATTGTTATTTAAAAAAAATATTTGCGACACTGTTTCTCAGTTGAGGCTGTCCGTGATCTGATTTGTTGTAAGATGGAGACGTATATTTGGTCTGGGGCTGCTTTTGCCAATGATCCAGGACATTCTGGAGAGAACTTGGACTCTCTTTCTCCAGTGCCTTCATTTACTAGGTAGGCTTCTCCATTTCTTCAGTTAGTCAATCAGGTTTATGAGGTTTTGGGGTTTTCTCCAGTTGCCTTTGAATCTACTCCTTTCTTGATGGCTGAAAGGTCTGAGGGTAACTAGTTAGTTTTTCCTCTTTCACCTGATACTGCTGTTTATGCTGGGAGATTCACTGCTCAATTACATGACAGGATAGCTATGCCTTGACCCCACGTTTGTCTGAACAGCATGCTTTGGCTTACCACTGCCAGGAGGACATATATTTAGATTCCCAAAGGCTTGATTCTCCTTCGGATATGTGGGGTTCCAGACTGGACCCTGAAATCACTTTGAGTAGGTCACAACTTTCTCAGATTCATCTGACCCTCACTGCTATTCTGAGATATTTATCTTCCCCCCAAATTTTGTCAGGAGCCTATCAGTGTTCCTCACATCTATGTTTCATGCACAAGGGTCAGGTTCTGCAGTTCAGGGCTCTGCTAGCATCTGCACCATATGTCTTCTGCAGAATTGTACGAGCTTTTTCTCATGACCTTCATGCTTTGTGCTTGTGCACACACCATTATATGGACAACTGGTTACTTCTGGCACCATCTTGTTAATTGGTGGAACTATACACCCTCATTCTCCTTTCAGAAGCCACCAAGGCCGGCTTTCTTATCAGAGCTGATAAATTCATTCTCTTGCCGACTCAACATATTTTCCATCTGGGTGTCTTTTTCAACACAGATTGGCTCAACTGACTCCCATCTGGCTCCAGGCTATGAAATGAGCAGTCAGGCTCTTACTTACATCTCCTTCTCCTACTATGTGGATGATTCTCTCTCTTTTGGGGATGTGGGCATCCTCTGAATCTCCAATTCCTTTGGGAAGAGCACACATATGGTTCCTTCAGTGGTCACTGCATGACCTGTGGTCCACTGGATTGTCCAGTCTCCTTAATCAGGAGCAATAATTTAGATCGTAAGTGGTGGTTGTATCGGACCAACACTACCATCGTTCCTATATCATTCCCTCGTCTTCAGTTCCATCTTTTCACAGATGCCTCACATCAGGGATAGGGTACGTATATTGAGGGTCAGGAATTCCAGGGTCTATGGATGAAAGATCAATCTTCCTTCCATATCAATATTTTAGAACTTCTTGCTGTCTGACGAGCAGTGGTTCAAGATCTCAATCTATTGAAGAGGAAAATTGTCATGATTCATTCTGACAATTCCACAGTGGTCTCTTACATTTCCCATCAAGGGCGCATGCACCCTCAGGACCTTTGTTTTCAAACTTTAGATTTTCTCTACTGGGCTCACTCCCATCATATCAGCCTTCTAGCTTGCCATATTCCAGGGGTGATGAATTTAATAGCAGATCATCTGTCTTGATCCGACCAAATGTATGCTTCATCACAAGGTTTTACAGTGCATTTGCTCTCAGTTCTGGACTCTGGTGATTGATGCATTTGTCACTCGTTTAAACTCTCAACTACAGCCATTTTGGTCCCTGGTGTCTCATCCTCAGGCTTTGGTGATAGATTCATTCAGTCAAGATTGGACAGTATTGCACCTCTATTCTTTCCTCCCAATTCATCTGTTACCCAGAGTTCTGGGTATGATTTGATTCACTACTTGTTGAGTGCTGTTGGTAGCCCCAGATTGGCTGGCCCAACCATGGTTTCTTCTTCTACAGTATCTTCAAGAGTATCCAATTCTGCCACTTCCTCTTAGGCCGTCTCTGTTGAGGCAACCTCAATCCGATATTCTACACCCAGACGTTCCCAAGCTCAAACTTCATGTATGGAAGTTATGTGGCATCAGGATTTTAACTTGTAAAGTTGCCTTGTATTTGTCTCAATCTATTCGTAGACCCACAATGACCATTTATCAATGGAAATGGCTCACTTATCACCAATGGTGTCTCACAAGGAAATTGAACCTACTTTGCCCACCATACCTCGTTTTTTGATCTGGCTTTTTGATAAAGGTCTAGCTTTGTCTGCTTTTGCTTTATATAAGGCAGCTTTATTGACTACTTTTCAATATCCTAATCATTGGAGAGTATTTGAATCCCCAGTGCTATCCGGACTTCTGAAATCATTTAGAGCCCTTCATCCCAAATGGCCTTTTTCATTACCCTACTGGGATATTAAAGTGATATTACATGTTTTGTCTGGACATTCATTTGAGCCTTTAGCCTCATGTACCAAGGATAACCTTTCACTTAAAGTGTATTTTTTTGTTGCTGCTAACATGTGGACATTGTAGGTCAGATTACTTTGTCGAGGTGGGTACAAAAAATCAATTCCTATTGCTTATTCTGGACTTTCTTTTCAGGCAAGGAAACTTCTGCGAGTCACAATTCATCAGATTTTTCACATTTCTATGTCTTCAGCTGCCTGATTGAATTGACCACTTGAGGACATCATGAAGGCTGATATATGGACTTCTCTCAATACTTTTCTCTTACATTACTTACATGGTCTGGCAGTTTCTTCTTCTGAGGATTTTTTCTTACCCCCTATGGCCATTATGACCACATCTGCTAGATTATAAGGAGGGGGTATTTTTTTCTCCTCCTCTTGTCTCTACATTCCAGGGTCCCTTACTTCTATTTTTTCACTGGATCTCACTCTGTGGCGAGTGTTGCCCAGACAGGTGGGCTTTTATTCATCCAATTCTGCACTAGCAACCAATTTAACTATACTTACTACCAGTTGCAACAGGATCTGTAGAAATGAAGTGTTCCATAAAATCATCAAGGAGGTCACCAGATGGTATTACCATTTTATGGTGGACTGACACTTATGGACTATCTATCATGAGTTAAGCAAAAGGGGATCCTTCCCATCCCTGCCTATCATTGGATTGATTAAGTTGAGGTCGGTTTGCTTTTAAAAATTTAGAGAACTTGGTTTACCTATTGCATTGTTTACAGAGCACTGTTCCTCAGGACTCTCCTACGTCCTCTCCATACTTCCGGGGGCAAGTGGAAGCCTCCTTGCCCACTTGGTTGGGGCGTGAGGATGAATGTTCATAATTCCAGACCAAATGAGTTCTGTTCCTTTGGCTGATAAAGCATATATGGTCCTGTCATTCTGAGCCTGGGGTGGTGCCTTTTGGACTTCTTCAGGTGGAAGAGAAAGTTTGTCCACTTCATTGTTGCTTCCTTTCTCATCTTAATTCCGGTGGTTGAGAATAAATCACTCTATGGCTACAGGTTGGGATCCAATCAAAGTATATCTGTATATCACATTGGAATCCAATTGCCTTAGCCACTAATGTGGGATATGGGGACCATGACCCCTTAATTCCAACCCCAAGTAGTGGAATCTCAGCTATCTTGTTGGGGCTTGCCTATAGTGATGATTACTCCTGTGCTATTCCACCCTTGATACAGGAACTAAGTTCAGAGTGAAGAGCATGCCTGTTCTGGATGTAGTTCAGTTCCCCCATTTGGGTTCCATTCTTATTTTGGTACACCCTCGATCTATGCAGAGCTTTCTGTATGGATGCTGCCCTCACCAGCTGCTCTACATTCTCAATGTGGCATTCTAGGTATAAGTGTCAGCAGAGGTAAGTATGCTTTGGAAGTTAACATTTTCCTAAATTGAAAATGTATTTACAATAATACTTACCTCTTCTGATACTCCCCTGCCCTTCCTCTCCTGTGTGTGTGTGTGTTTTTCTTTTATGTAATGGTTATTTTAGAGTATAACTTTAAAGGTGTTATTTTTGTCCTTAATATCCATATGAATTTTTGAGGCTATAATTGCATTAATAGAGTACTATTATCCCTACTTTTATCATCATGTTAATGCACCTTGTCACACATTACATGCCATATCTGCCAGTGGTTTAATGTAAATATCATATAAATTTACTTTGTTCAGCTCAGAGTTGCAACTATAATCCATGTAAACCACCATGGAATGTTTAGGAATGCCATGTAAGGTACTAAAGAAACATACCCCCAAACCCTACCATACTTAAGAAGCTTTGCAAGAGGAATAGGATTGTTTTCTAATAGATGAACACCAATGGTTGAAGGCAAGGTTTTAATTACAAAGCCCAGACTGCAATCAACTTGTGATAAAATGCAGTACCCTACTGCTGAAGGTTTTTTATTCTAATATTTTTGTTAGTATATATATGTATATTTATAACAATGGTATATTTAATCAGCTATATTTATTTTGGTCAGTTTTTAGTTTAGACCTCTGTAGGTGGCTTACTTTGATTTGAAGTTAGTAGTAACACGAGTGTCTGTATATATATATATATTATTTATCTGAAACTGCAACAGTGCAAGACAGTGTTAAAATTAGATGGAGCTAAAATGACACAGAAGAATGCAAAACAGTTAGAACATGAGAATCACAACACGAATCACTTCTAAGTGGTATTTATTTTATGGTGTTTTGTGTTGGTGTAAAGGTTATAAACTCATTTAGTCACTTATGCACTAATACTTAAGTACATATCAAGAAAAATTAGATGGTTATGTATTGAATTTAAATGAGCTAAATCTTTGTCAGTTTGTTAATCAAAAATATATGTTCACAAGAAAGACAAGATAAAACCAGAACAAAACTGAGTTGCTTTGGTATAATCAAATATATACAATTTGTAATATAGAAATATCTAAATGTGTAAACTTAATACAGGTGTGTCTTTTCTGGATTGACCTAAAAAACTCATGATTTTTCTTTGAAGGGAGTAAGATATTGACAATTTTGGTTTTATGTAGTATTTTTATTCATTAAATTTCACATATTAAACCAGTACTAAATATATATTAGTATTATGCAGTTATAAAAGCAATTGTTTTATTTGTAGTAGAGAGACCTATTTTTGGAGTCCCACTACATGTGGCATTGGAAAGAAATAGATCACATGATGGTATAGAGATTCCAGCAGTAGTTCGAGAATGTATTGATTACATTGAGGAACATGGTAAGCTTGTTTTTGTCTCAAGTTATTATGAAATTGTACATATAAACATGAAATTATTACCACAGTACACACACACACACATAAATATATACTAACCAAAAGCTTGAGCACCAACTTTGGAAGAATCACAAAAAATCCAATAATATATTGAATGCCAATTAGTGCAGCCTATAGCCATGTTTGTATTTGCATTTATTTCACAAAAAGTAATTCACCTTTTTTTTACATGAAATTCTTACCAGTGTTGTATGTTACTGCTTTTTTCGAAACACATCATACTAATTCAGATTAATTTCAATTCTGAGAATAATGATATATATATATATATATGTATATATATCATCATATTGTCATCTATACCATTATGTATGTCTCAGTTAATATGCCCTTCATAGTGTTTGTATTAAAACATTTACGTCCTTTGGTAGAATATAGTATGAATAATACAAGAATGGAAACACCAGGGTTCATTAATTTTTATAGTTCATTCTGGTTACATTCTTATTGTGAATTTTTTAATTTGATATAACATAATACATGAATTATTTTTGTTAAAGGTACTGTCATCTGCTACTACTTTTTTTTTTATTATCAAAATTACTTTTCAGAAAACATAAAGTGTTAAAATTCCATCATAAAATATTGAATAAATTTCTTGCACAAGAGATTTCAGTGACTGTAAATAGAACACAACATATTTTTTTTTCATAGTGTATATAAGTTTTAGTATGCAGTGTTTATTTATAGATAAATCTTAAAACATTTCAGGATATATGTACTATCAATATTTTTAATACCATTGTATAAGTAGTTTTTGAAAAACATATAGTTGTTGAGTAGAAGCTTTAGAGAAATGTATAAAAAATTCAATAAGGCTGTATAAAGGAAAAAAAAAGTTGAACTTGGTAGTTTTATTTTTGAACAAAGAAATTATTTCTAGCATTAAATGAATAATGTTAGTGGCTAGTGATGTAGTTCTAAATTCTGAGACAATACATACATAGTTAATCTATCTTCCCTGTGCATCTGCCTTAGAAATTTGCATGCCACTGTGCTTTATGCAACTCCCAGTATTATTATGCAGCAAAAGCCTTCCACCAATAGGAGGGTGACACACCTCCTTGTGCACTAATTCCTTGTATGCTTTTGTACTGGGGAATCTTCATTATTTTCCTTGGCACTGAATGCATCACATGTGGTCTTTCATTTTTTGATTTAACGAGATTTACGATATTAAAGGAACTTAGTTTCCTTCTTTTTTTTTTTGTACAAACTATGAATTCACTAGTTTGTTTAAATCTTCATTTGCTTGTGTGAGTGAATAATTTCCTCACACAGATTATGTAAAAACTATGGCATATGGGGAGGCACTTTTACTGGGAATGGTCATTGTACATCGGGTCTTATTCCCTTACATAGCCAGGACCTTCTACCCAGAATCAGAGTCTTCAAGCTTGTCACTGATGATTAAGCCAAGTCAGGTCCTGTAGGTGCCTGCCTGTCATACTTTTCCATCCACACAAGGGTTACTCAACTTTTTACCCACAGACTTTTTTTTCAATTATCTTTCCTTCCTCCTCTCAGCCCTCATCATGTTTCCTTTCCTCCTTCTGATCCCATCTATGTATAATGTCTAGAGGAGGCATTGTTTCTCAATACTTCCAAATTTTTCCTCACTCCCACTCACTATCTTATTCACCTCTCCATGACAAAACAGTTAATTGTCAAATTGGTTATTTAATTCTGAAAATCATTGCATCAGGTATATTACTGTCAAGGAACAGTATTTTCAAGGTCAGATGACTTTTAGCAAATGATAAAAACTTCATTTAATATAAAGTGTTCAATATTAGAGAAATGATTACAATCCCTTTGATCCACATTTGAATGTACTGGAAAATATATTGCATTTTGAGGTATTTGAGCGATGCTCCCTCTGCACATGAAGTGATGGGTTGGCATTTCCTTGCAACCCCAAAAGACTACACTACACTGCTTGTAGCTGATTGCATAAACATTTAATGTAAGAAGAAATGGTTTTTCTTGACTTATTCTGCTCTCTATAGGCACAAATTTTCACTCACCACTAACCTTTATACTCCAACCTACTCATATGGGTATTTACATGAGACATCTTCATTCTGTCATGCAAATGATCATGCAGCAACCCTCCACCAATATGAAAGCGACACAATTCCTAACATAACTGTAGGAACCCTCGCTTTTGTGCATCCTATAATCACTTCTCAACTGGCAGTCCTACTGATAAGAGGTTTTTCACTCTTATTTTCCTGTTTCTTGTGGGTTTTTTCAAATTCATGTGAATTTATTGTGTATCTTTTTTTTCATTAACTAGTTCTGTCATTATTTTTTTGCTCAATTTCTGTGTGTTATTCCATATGTATTTTTTCTTCCATATATTTCAAACCATTTTTTCTTTCGGCTTTTGCCATCATTTGCATTGATTCATTTAGTTCTCTGCTGGCCCTGAAACCACATAATCATAATCCACACCGTAATCTCTGTCGGATTTGCAAGAAACTGGCCTATTTATCCTTATATCTTTTTAATATCCATGTTGTTGGCTCTCTGGCTATGTATAATGTGGAATAAATTGACTGATAGATCAGTCTCTTTTGATGTTAGCTAAGCCACTACCTAGTTGAAAGATGGATTTTAAACATTCTACCAGGGTTTGTAAAGAGAAAGTTCTTTTAACAGGAGTTTTCAGTGGGCATTATTTTTAACTGTCTAATATACTTAGTAAAATTTAGTGTCAGTGATATAGCACTTACCCTTACCTGATTTTCACTTATTTTTGGATCTTTTGTCATTGCTTTGATACTCCTTCCTGTGCCTTATATGTTCAACATGTCGTTGGGAATGGTGCATGCTGTCCTTCTTGACTTTTTAAAATTTTTACATATGGTTGGATTTTATATTTTATAATGTTACAAGCTGAGGTACCCATCCTTTGTTCAGGTTATGAACTTTAAAAATGTGAGGATAGATGCTATTATAAATAGCATAAAAATCCTAACTTTCACACAATATATTTACAACATAACATATTATTACAGTATTCATTATTACCCCACTAAAAGTTTTATATAACCTTTAAGAACTCTTTATGTATATACTTAAGAAATGGTATGTGATGTATGATGGTCAGGGTGACTTTGTAGGAAGAGGTAACGGCCAAATTAGTAGGAGTGTTTTCTGTTACCCGCTATCAACACTCATATTTTAATGTCCTTCAACACTGCTTCATGTTATTAATTTATTGGCGGTTATTGGCTGCAGAAGTGTCTTACAGGCCAAAGCTGTAAGGTCATGGGCAAAAGTATGAAGTGGGTATAACATAAGAAACAGCTCATCATATCAGTCTTATGGTGGCTGTTGTAGTAGAAACTTCATCTGAGTTTATGTATTAGTGCAATAGTGGTGGCCATGTTTTTTCATTGCATTCCTCCTTAGAGAGTGCTAGCACACACTCTGAGATATTAATGACCTTTGTGTGCATCCTCTCACACTGTGTGTATGTTGTGTTATAGAAAATTTAATAAAGTATTTTTTGTGTAAGAATGTGGCATCATCTATGAATGCAGTTAATGTCAACTTTAGTCAAAGATAATAAATGATCAATAACAACAATAATGGGAAGTAGAGGGGGGGGGGTGAACCTCTCATTAACATGCCCCTTGTTTCTAACTATCTTCCCACAAAGTTTGGTTGAGATTGGCCCAGCAACATAGGAGTAGTTAGACAAAGGACAAACAGACAGACACGGATTTTTGGGCTTTACATATATAGATTTAACCTTTTTTTTATCACTTCATTTTACAGTTTACTCTTCCTTGTTATAACTTTATTGTATTTATATTTGTTTGGTACAAATGATCTAAGGTACCTTGTGACATAAAATCCCAGTTGAATTAGATGCCTCCAAAAGGAGTATTGTTTTTTTATGCTTTCAATGGCCATGAGAAACACTTGACAGTTGTTTTAATTATTTCTCCAGTCAACAATGCTCAAGAGATGTAAATCATTATGTTATCCATCGGAATATGGACCTTGAGCCTCACAGAGTTTATATGGCCACAAACATTCTGGACCATGTGTACATGGGAAAGTCTCGCTTTTTAGAAGAAAATGTTAATGGAGTCTCCCACTTACCATATATTATAGAAGTCAGCGCTGCTAAATGTTCATAAGAAAGGTGTATTGTCTCACTTGATTCCAGAAGAAAAGTCTGTGATTCAGGCCATTTGTAGGAAAATATCTGGAAGGTTGGAGTAATCAATAAGAGTCAGAAAAATTGTATTCTCTTGTGTTGTTGAAAGTTATTTGTGGTTCATCTTCACTGAGTAAGGTAGCTGTCATTAGTCTCTGCTTTTATTTTCCATTTTCTACAGTGAATGAGTGATCCTTCAGTACATATATATTTATGCACTCAAAAAAGTACAACCAACTTGCTTGAAAGAGGGCTGGCATGCTAGTACATTTAGAACAAATCTAATATGATTTTGAATGCTACTTAAAACTTCTAAAACAATGGAGTTTTTGTTTAATCAAAGGAATTTTAGAAAGTATAAATCACAATCATTTATTTCCGAAATTACTAAACCCAGGTTTAAAATATTTTGATTTACATTTACAGCTAATAAGTAACCAAAGTTTTGTACCAAAGAAACATTTCTTGTGAGAAACTGGTAGTCACAAATTAAGTTTTTTTTTTGTAAGATGAAGTATAACTTATTATTTTACCCATATAAAATGTATATGAAACTTTTATTAGTTCTCATTCCTTTACACCTAAGAATATCATATAATATTGGGATATCATTGATTTTTGTGTGTTTTGATTACTTAGGGTTGTCATGTGAGGGGATATACCAGTTAACAGGTGTGAAATCTAAAGTCCAACAGTTGAGAACCAAGCTAGATCAAGGAGAAAAGGTCTACCTATATGAATATGAGCCACATATTGTAGCCAGTCTGTTGAAGCAGTTCTTGAGAGAACTTCCTGAACCACTTCTGACAAATGAGCTCACTCCTAAATTTGAAGATGCAGCTGGTGAGATAACTTGATTTTTTTTTGTGTGTGTGTGCATATAATATTTCTGTTTTTACAGTGACTATAATGATTGTTTAATATGACTGTATGGATACTTTTCCAAATTAATGGATGCCATTGCTTTAAGTGTTGAATTTATTCATATACTAGTAAGACCCCCCATGAAAATAGATATCTATTTTGAATGATTTGTATATGTCCATGCTTGTTTTTATGTAAATCTGCAACTCCAGTTCTGAGACCCTCCAAACACTTTTGACCTTATATTAGGGCTCACATTTGTAAGTTTCCAAAATCTTAAGTTTATATTTTAATGATTTTTACATGCTAGTATGAAATGTTAAATAAGTCTGTTCAGTGAAATCTGAGATCCCTGAAGACTTCTTTACTCTCTATTTTTGAAACCCCTGTGTTTGATTGAATTAAATAGTTGATGTTTAGGGAAAAAATACTGATTATTTTTTCAATTTTATTAATATTGTGCACAACCACAACAGTTGTTTTTTTTTTTGCCCTCATGAAATCTTGGCAATAAGCCAAGTGTCAGCTTCATTAGCTTCTTGACCCAGTCAAAGTAATAACTAGTTCAATTGTTAAGTATAGCATTGTCAAACTCATTATTTCATTTGTCAGACTGCTTCATTAACCCTCTCCAGATGGGTCATGGACCAAAGGCTATGTCATCGCATTTGTTGACTTGCATTCAAAATTTTATTGAACTACTATTTCACACATTTATGTCAATGAGTTTGGTATCAAACTTTAGATTATAATTCAAATTTTAGTACTATATATTACTCAATTGCTTAATTTAAAAGCAAATATTTAAAAAACACAGTTAAACATCAATTTTTTGTGTGTCACGTGGTATGTTGAATGCAACACAGGTTCAAATTAGATGTTTGTGATGTCAAAATACTAAGTCTATAGTTTTGTATGAATTAGGAACTCAAATTACCAATGTTGACAAGGTAGGACATAAAATAAAAACCTCATATCTTTTCTATTTGCTGAGATATCACTCATGTACTGAATCAAACACAGTGGCCATGCTCACTCATCTCTTTCCATTTTTGGAAATGGTCCCTTATATACACTTACTTCAATATATGACATGTGAATAACCAATCGACAGCTCAGAATATTCCCTAGCGGCTTTCTCAGCCCTTTTCATGTGTTAGGACACCATAACATTCTTCGAACCAACATTTCAAGGAGGAAGGTTGTGTCTCTAGTCTGCTCAAAATTTCACATTTTTTGAGAACCAAGTACAGCTTAGCTACTAAGCTTGATAAATTATAATGTAATTCTATGGTATCAGTATAGTAATTTATGATTTTTTGGTTATTCAACTGTATATGTATAAAACCTAAAAAAATTATTTCATTTCATATCCTTCACGTGCAAAATTTTAAAAGGCTTAGTAACCTATGTCAAGCAGCAACCGAGCACAAAGGTCGTAACTAGAAGAGATAATTGTTTGCTTAATTTTATGTTTATTGTTCTACGTTTTAAGAAAAATAAATGTATTTCTAAATAATAATAATCTATATACATATATAATGTATAATAATGGAAATGTGACTATTTTACAAAATAGTAGTCTACTAAAACACCGTCAAGACAGGTCACTTTGAAAATACTAAAGGTCAGTTTTATATTATTGAATATGGTAACATAAGAGCGCGTGTGCCGCGTCATTGTAACTTCTTTATCATTATCCACGCACAGCTGAAAGGTCAATATGATAAAAATAATAAATACATATAAATGTATAATGTTATGAGATTTAAGCTGTTTAGTCTAAACATGTATGTTTTTGTGTTATAATTTGTTATCGTTCTAGAATGAAAGAGGCATAATTTATAATTATTTCCTAATTTTTTATGGTGGTTACAAGATCGGTTAAATCTACCAAACCCGTACAGAGATTCGTTAGTAAAAAATAACAGATAAAATGTAAAGTTTTTTCTTAAGAAATGTTTGATAATTATCTGGACATTATAAATATTTTGCATGTTAAATTTGAAAATTTCTGATTCATAAAAGTATTTTTAATCTTAAAATGAAAATTACTTTGCATGTTGGATAGGCAACATGCAAAAAGGAAAAATAGGCATGAGAAAAACATTGCTTAACAAACCTTAAGACTTAATAAAAAACTTTGATATTTTGCGTATGAAAGCATTGTAATGTTTACTGATAACCTGCAAAATTTCGTTAACATATGCTTACTAGTTTAAAAGTTATAGCATGAAAACTATAACAAGCACAAAATAGTTATGAGGTCGGTCTCAGGGACTGAGCCCATGCTGAAAGAGTTAAAGCAAGTAATTAAATAATTTCATGCAGCAGTCAGCAAAGCTTATCTAGTACCTAAAAATGCAAATGACTGTTATTTGATGGATTTCAACATATGTCTCTTGAAATGCCCTCTTTTACTCGATAAATTAATAAATAACATTTCGCTGTCACTAATTAGCAAATGATATAAATGATTTTTGTTTTTCATTAAATTACATCCTCTCAGAATAAATGTAGGCCCTGAATGATCACCCTTCACTTATTAACGAGTAATGTGTTGAATGTTTTTTGGAAAAAATTAAAAACTTCAAAACATATGGTAACAGAAATAATTAATGAAACAAACAAGTGATAGACATAGAGTAATGACAGACAACTAGTAATGGTAAATAGATGTTGAATTTATTAATGATACAAAACTTTATTACTGATAATATCAAAGGAAAAGGAAAATTTTTCTATAGAACCCTTTGCTTTGCACAGAATATTTTCATGATTACATATAGTTTATTGAAGAGCGGTTAGGGAGTAGTGTTCCAAATGTCTTGTGTTATTTACCACAATTCAGCCAAGGTTTTTGGTCTGCTGTCTGATCTTCTCAGTTATTTATGGTAAAGAGTTATGGCAGCATAAATTTAGCAGTGCAGTATAGAGTTATGGAATGGGGAACTTATCTGTCAGAGCTGAAGTCATCACAAAGAATTTGCATCTTGTTGCCAAAGATTGTCTAAATGTTGTTGAGCTACATGTGACAAGATGGAAAATTTTTTTAATCGCTAATAAATTGAAGCTTGCTTCAGGGAAGAAATAAGGAATGTGAAGAAAATGAAATGAAAGGGAAAAGAAAATAAAGAATCATTTTTCCCTTCTGAGCATATTTAGTTAAAAAGTAGCATTTTATAAATGTGTTGAGTATGGCTTTTATAAATGGCAGTTTAAATAACTATGTGAATACTATCCATTTGAGATAGCAAGGTAGATGTGGTATGAAGATTTACATTTTTTTACCATTTTTTTCATATTATTTACTTTTCTTCATTTTCATTAATCACTTAAGTTATGTAATCCAGAGAGAAGTCCCAGGGTCAGTTAGGACTTAAGTAATTTTGCTGTGACCCTAGACTGTAAAACCAGTTTCAGGCAGAGCTAAGTTAACATTTTGTAAATCTAGATCACAGAGTTAAAATTACATTGCTTTTAACTCTAGGCACCATCTTACTTAACCCTATCAGCACGGATACCCTTTACTGCACATGACACAAGGTTTTAGTGTCTTACATTCAAGGTTTTATTAAACTACTTTTTGTTTATGTTATAACAATTAGAATAGCATAAGATCTTAGCTAATAATCCATATTTTAATAGTATACATGTTTTAAGTTCTTAATTCTAAAAGGAAATATATAAAAAACTCCTGACTTTCCACTTGTGTAATACACATGACAAATTTTGTTTTACCATGTCATCATCCCTATTTTATACATCACACCTCGAAAATGTATGAAATTAAATGTAAAATGCTCTCTATAAAATCGTTATTGCTCAAACAGACCATAAATTTTATGGCCTTCAATTTTAGTTTGTCACAGAGCTATCAAAGATAAAATCAGACCCCTCCTGCCACACCCACCTGTACCATCTTCTCTTTCACAATTGGTAGGTAGTTCTCTCTTAGGTTTCATTATATATTATTTATAACCAATAGAACATAAAGGTTTTCATCTATCAAATGGCGTATTGTATAACATTGTATTCTGAACAGAATATAGTTAATTTCACTCACAGTACAAGATTCATTCCTGTGGGAAAGTTAATGACTAGCTTTGAAGAATTGTTAGAAAGCCAGAAAAATTTTGAGAGGTAAGTGAATTTGTCTACTTTTTGCATGTTATTAGTCTATATTCTTTGGTGTAGTATTTAATTAGATAAAAATTGTTTACTGCTTTACTATAATCACTAAAAAAAATTGGGCTTAACTGTCCTCGCAATCGAGGACAAGAAAAAAAAGAAGATTGTGTAAGTACATTATTTCTTGTTTCATACTTATTCTTGATTTATTATTATAAAAGTAACTAGAATTAAAAGTACAAATCTTTTTACATTATTTAAGACTAGATTAGGTAAAATAAGTAATAATAATAATATAATTAAAATGGTTTATGAGGCACGCATGCAAGCAGCTCATGGGTAATGTAATTCGATAGCTTAATGTGAGCTGCACATTCCCCAAGTGATTAACAACTTTTATGAATAGCAGTTAGACATGGTTAGAAGGGCAATAAAACATTAAAATTTAATTATAAATAGATGTATAATGTTACGAAGTTAGAGCCACTTAGGATAAACAAATGTAGTTTCTAGTTACAATATGAAGTCATTCTAGAAGGAAAAGAAGGTTAATTTAGGTTCATTTAGATTTTTTTTTTTGGTGGTTACAAGGTTGGTCGAATTGACCAATACCATTTTGAGATAGGGTAGATAAAATAACATAAAAACTATAAGGATTTAGTGAAAAAAAAACGTTTGAAATGCATTTAAGAGGTTTTAGGTATTACACAAATGAAATTTGAGATTTTTTAGATGATGAAAAGTATTTTTAATTTTGACATGAAAATCACTTTGCACTCAGACCAGTTAAAAAAAAGAATAGATATTTTCATGGACAAATTTAAGTAAAAATACTTCATTAAAAAATT